GAAGTAAAAAGATACAGAAAAGTAATTCACTTTGTTGACCTCAAAAGAGAAAGTCTTCCTCAACAGAAACTCAAATGTTGAGGTACCTCTGATTTTTCTTTCCTTACATTTACATCTTATTTTAGTGGCCTCAATCAGTCTGTTAGTAACACCACAAATAAGGATGACTTCCAATAAAATAAAGAAGCACACCAGAAGTTTCAGTGCTTATAGACAATGGAAATAAATGCAGCCCCAGCCTCTGTTTCTCATTTCCTGATCTGGTATCCACAAGATGAAATCTGTCATTGTGTCAAAAAGCATGTGGAAAAGAAACAGGAATTTGAATTGGATGAAGAATTCCCATCATATAAAATACAAAAAAAAATTAAAACCAATACTCAGATTCAAATGAAAATAAAAAATATTTTTTACTCTGTTGTTTCTAAAAATTAAATCATATGTTTAACGGTTTGGTAATGTAGAGAAAATTCAAAATGTTTTCTTGATTGTTACCAGAAAAAAAAAGACAGGGCAAAGGAAGCATGTTGTTAAAGTCATGAGGATCTTCTTAGAAACTACTTGTTTTCCATTTCAAAGAAGTCATGGGAACCACTACCTATAGAGTTCCACAGTGATATTTAATTCATGTCTTTCCTCATGTGCCCTCTTCACTAGCCTGGAAGCAGGAAGCATAGCCCAGGAGAAGGGCTCCTGGCTGTCACACTGTGATCACAGGACAAGGCTGCAGCAGGGTCCAACAATTGCCACTCAGTTTCCACAAATAATGTGTTTTCACTAATTGCAGTCCACACCAGAGCAGGCTGTTGCTTTGCAAACTGGTTTGTGGGGATGAAAGCTGGAGACTGCGTCACTAGGAGTCATACCATTGAGTGCGAGAAGGCCAGAAGGTCCTCTGATTTCTGTGTACCCCCAAAACACAGCCCTGGGTCAGCTGTGTAACTGTGGGCAGGTGTCCCCAGGTGTGTTACTAATGCCAGCAACCCCCCCCGCCTCAGACAGCTTCAGGGATGACATTAATGTGGTACGCAGGGCAGTTTGCAGGACCTGTCCCTTGGGAGACAGACATGCCAACTGCCAGGGTCCCGATGCCACATCCACACATCCTCACCAACGTCCTTCCCTACGTACGGAGCAGCTCATGCCTAACCTCCTCCTCCCCCACACCCGAGTTCGGCTGCGGCAGCAGGTGGGCCCAGGGGGCTGCCCGACGCCCCCGGCCCC